CTGAGTTGCCTTGAAGACACCCCAGGATAATTTTTTTCTTTCAAGCAGTCAAGTTTTCCCCTAACACCACTGCTGGGGTGAGCTGGGCCCCCCCTGGTCCCTGTTACCCTGGAGCTTGAGGTGAGTGGCTGCTGGTTTTGGAGATGGGATGCTCTCACCACCCAAGCACCAGGGCCATCGGTTCCAGCAGGGTCTCGCAGCCCCCAGCCCCGTTCCTCCTCAGAGGATAGGGCCCAGCAGCCCTCCCAGCACCGTGGGACTTTGCTTTTCTTTCTCTCCACCGTTTTGTTGTTTGTTTTTTTTTCTGCCTTTCCTCCTTTTCCGGCCAAGCCATCTGCTTGGTGGGTTTATTTCAGCCGGAGCAGCCAGAAGCATGCATGAGTCAGGCGTTTCCCACTTCTGCTTGTATTACGCAGTGTAAACGCGCGCCGGGCTCGGTTCCCCTCTTTGCTCAGGGTCAGCGGGGAGGGAGCGGCGGTGGAGGGGCCGCGGGCGGCAGCGCCTCTTTCCTCCTCCGCTTCCTGACACCCAGGCGATGCAACCGTGGCCGCTTCCCTGGGCAAACGCTGCCGCCGGGCTGGCTTGCTTTCCCATTCCCAGAGCCCTTCCTTCAGCTGGCCCCAGGATGAAATCGTAACCTTAATTTATTTTTTTTTAGTAAACAAACCCTGCTGACGACCTGGGTTGCTCTTGAGCAACCGACGGTCACAAGCTGGAGCAGATGGTACAGGCAGTCCAACGTTTGGGAACAAAGCTAGGAAAACACGGCCCCTTTCCAGTCTCTCACTGCCCTGCAAAAACACCCTGAGCCCTGGCTATCGCGGGAGGTTGGGGAGGAGGTCGGGCTGGCAGGGGTCTAGGAGCTGGCTGTAAATACCGGCTGGGAAGGATGACTTCTGAAATCCCTCGGCTGGTTGTTGCATGGATGTTTTGAAAGCCAGCCCGGTGTTACTGTGTGCTGCCGGCTGGTCTAATGCTGCAAACACCCGCCAGCGTGGGTGCTGGGTGGGTGGGATGCTCGGCCATCCCATCCCGGGGGTATTGTCCCCCAGTGGGGAAAAGCCCTTTGAAGAGCGGGAGGGCAGGGGAGGACGGGCTGCTCCGGACTCTATACGTTTCACGTAGCTTGGCGTTTCCTTTTAGGGTCCAACCCAAATTCCAGGGATGTTTTCCATTGATTTTGGGTGGTCACTGGAGTCGGTCCTCCCTGGGAGAGAGCTGCACATCCGTGCGTGCTGCCCCCTTCTCTGGTTGGGGAACTTCCCACAGCCCCCCAGCCCTCCCCGAAAACCCATCTCCCACCTCGGGGCCCAGAGCCCGGCAAGGGGTGCCGGGATGGAGATGCGCGTTTCGGGGATGTGACGCTGGCTGTGTTTTGAGGCAGGTTTGGGAGGCTCCAGACCCAGTGTACCTGTGCTGAGGACCTGCTGTGCGTGGCAGGAGGGGGACTGGGGGTTTCATCCTGGCACGGGAATGCTTAGTTCAGCTTTCCTGGAAAGCTGCGGCCTTCACGGTCCCCACAGCAGCAGGGCTGCGTCATCCCTGCTCTGGAGAGAAATCCCTGCTTGGGTTTGGGGTGTTTTAGCCCCATTTACTGCCCAAAATGTTAACGTGCGCTCGTTCACGGGTAGCTCCGGTGTCCTCCCCAGCCAGAGGTACTTGGGTGGCTGGAGGGAAATACCTACTTAACGTCCTCCTGGAGACTCCCCGACCATGCATGGAAAAGCCCTTGAAATGCAACTGTCTTACTGGGAGGATGAGTTATCTGATGTATGTGCAGAGATGGGGATTGATATTAACTGTATAATTGCTATAATTTCCTAGGGCGTCTGAAGGCAGGGGAGGCACCTTGCTTAAGCCGTACGTGGTGCGTGTTGGAAGCGGTTACGTTTCCAACAGCTGCAAGAGACCCCGGTGCCGGCTGTGTCCCACCGCTTCAGGCCCCAAAGAGATGTTTATCGGCGGGAAACGCCAAAAATTTGGGTGGAGTGTGGGAGAGATTGGGGATGTGCCTGGTCCGTGCTGCAGCAGGGTCAGAAACCTTTTCCCCGGACTATTCCTCGTGCCGCCGGCACCGTGGCATCTGTGCAATATGTGTCTTCCTCCGCTCCGGCGGTGTGGGTATGGCAGCATCTCTTGGGAGTGCAGGGTCAGTCCAGATGCCCGTAGCGTCAGGCGGTGACTCCCGGAGAGGCCAGGCTGGGATGGGGACCGGTGCAGGGACACAGAGGAGCGTGGGGCGGCTGTGTTGGAGCGGGGACGTCGCCTCTCTCTTGGCTCTGCCCGGAGGAAATGGCTTTGGGCGAACGCCGTTGCCATGCGCACGCTGAAAGGCGGGCAGACAAAGGCTGTGCCTGGGAAGTTTGCTCAGTGAATTGGGTTGGGATTTTCTGTTTGCCCCATTTCCAGTCCCTTCCCCCCCAGCTGCCTGGGGCCCTTTGGGCTACAGCCAAAGCAGAGGCTCTCTAACGCCCTTCCACCCATTTCAATGGTCAGCATCCCCATTTTGTTGCTCAGCATCCCCATTTCAGTGCTCAGCATCCCAGGTGGAGGAAGGGACTGGGCAGCTTCCCCGTGCCGTGCATCTCAAACCCAAGGGCAGAGCAGGGGCGTTTTGGGCGATGTCAGGGAAACAACTGAACAGGTTAATTAGCCGGCAGGAGGGTTATCATCAGGATGGTATTTTTAATGAAGCGTGTTTCCAGCAGGCTGGGGGGCTGTTGGTGCTTTACCCCATGGAGGGCAGCAGCCCGCCTGCACGGGGCTGTTTGCAGCCCCTGGCATAAATTTCTACATTTCCTGCCAGCTCCATATTCTCTCCTGACATCAAAAGTGGATGGAAATGTGGCAGCTCCGGCGGCTGGCTGTGTTCCTCATTGCTCGCTGGAGCCGGGGAAACACAAGGCAGTGCCAAACTGAGCCCCCTTTCTTTTCCCTTTCCCTAGTTCTTTTAAAAACTCCTGTAACTCTTCTCCATACCCTGACCCAGCTCTCTCTCCAGTGAAATCATCCTCCTTTAGGGTCATTTACTCCATATCTGCTTCTGAGTAGTTCCTTTCCCAGGGAAACTCTGGGGTCAGGAGGTTTTCCCATTGACGCAGAGCTCCTGGGCAGTGGGATGCTGAATGCTGCCCTTTTCTCTTGCAGGTGGGAGCTCGGCAAAGCAAACGACCTGGGAAGGAGGGCACCGGGTGCCGGCGCTGGTGTACTGGCCCGGCCGCATCCCTGCCAAGCAGACGAGCCACGCTCTGCTCAGGTAGGAGCCCGGCCAGATCACATTGCGGGGAGGGGCAGCCCCTTTGCCCCTGTTTGGAAGGACCCACCATCCCCGCGCTGGGATCCAGGTGATGATCGGGATTTTGGCAGCAGCAGCTGCCCGCGCTGGTTGTTGCCTGCCTTGTGCCAGACTCTCTACTTTTGTCCTCTCCCAAGCCCATAAGACTTAATGCTTCAGCGAAGAGGAGTTGAAAGGGCTTTTTGTGAGGCTGGTGGATTGGCGTTAGCAGCCGCTGGGCTCTGTGTGCCTCCTGGCCGCGGTGGCTGAGCGCCTCCCGATAATTAAAAGATGATGATGTTCCCTCTCTCCACCAAGAAGCAGGCTTAGGCTTTGTGGTTTGTGAATGGTTTTATGTGGAGGAGGGTGCGGTTGTGGAAAAGGCTGGCCGGAGAGATGGCGCTTGCAATCAGCGCAGGATGCGGCCGGGCTGGGAGGTAGCGAGTGACTTTTGCTGTTTCCGGCAAGAGCGGAGAGGAAGGGCTGCTGCCTCCTGCTCCTCGCCTCGCCGGGGAGCGCTGCACTGCGGGGGGTGGCGTGGCGGCGTCCTTATTGCAGCAATATTGCACCCCTGCAGGCAGCACTTGCAGCTCTCCATGCAGCACTTGCAGCTCTCCCTTGCAGCAGCACTTGCACTCTCCATGCAGCACTTGCAGCTCTCCATGCAGCACTTGCAGCTCTCCCTTGCAGCAATCGCACCCCTCTTTACAGCCCTCCTTTGCAGCAAATGCAGTGCGGGGGACACAGCCTGGGCTGGGAGCAGCGCAGTGGGATGCCCCGTCCCCTTTCGTCCCTTGAAACACAAGATGGTGGAGGTCAGGGTGGTGGGGCCAGGGGGCTTGCTGGGCGTTGGGAAAGAGTATCCCACCTGCTGGAAGCGGGTCTTGCAGCAATCGCACCCCTCTTTACAGCCCTCCTTTGCAGCAAATGCAGTGCGGGGGACACAGCCTGGGCTGGGAGCAGCGCAGTGGGATGCCCCGTCCCCTTTCGTCCCTTGAAACACAAGATGGTGGAGGTCAGGGTGGTGGGGCCAGGGGGCTTGCTGGGCGTTGGGAAAGAGTATCCCACCTGCTGGAAGCGGGTCCTAACTGGTCCCCACCTGGGGAGGCGTTGGCTGTTTCTAAGGTCCATGAGATAAGCTGGAGCCACTTCTTCCTGCCTGAGGACAGCTCTGGGAGCTGGATTTTTGCAAGCAGGGGAAGGTTTGAGGCATAAGCTGGGTCACTGACATCTGGCAGAGGGGATGGGGCACATGCAGCACCCCTTGGGTTTCACCTCCAAACCCTTCCCCTCCGTGGGTGGGTGATGGACTGACCAGTGGGACATGGGGCAGAGCTGCCAGCCTGTGCCTGCTCCGGCAGCCGGGGCAGCACGGTGCAGGATCAGTGCCCGTCCCCATCCCCCTGTCCCACCAGCCCCCTCACCCCCCTGCACATGCTGCAGCCCTGCCGCCAAGCCCAGGCATTCCGTTTATCTCCTCGAAGACCTTATCTCCTGCATTTCCCAGCTCCAGTCCAGCAGGTTGGGCAGCTGGAAATCTAGAAAGCCGGCGGCAGCACAGGCTGTGCTGCATGCCAGGCGCTGGGAAGGCGGCTCTCCCCAGGAGTCACAGCACACCCAGCATCCTGCCCAGCACAGCCTGGCATTGCCACGGGGCCATGCCCAGCTGGTGCAGGGTGATGCCCTGGCATTAGAAAGAGGCAACCCCCTGTTTGGGAGGCAGCACAGAGCCAGCCTGGGGGACGCGAGCGACGGCTCGTGCTCAGAAAGGTGTCACCACTGTGGTCCCGGCCACAGCCTGAGCTCTCGAGCAGGGGATGTGGAGGGATGCAGAGGGACGTGGAGGGATGTGAAGGACAGGGGCTGCTCGGTGCTCGCAGTGTGTCAGGTCAGGTGGCTTTTCTCTGCACCTGGAGTCACCCTTGGGGACATCCCTCAAAGGACAAGCATGTGAAATAGGGCAGTTGAAGACTTAGGACAAGTTCTTCCCCAACTGATGGGGAAGACCGAGAAGGTGGGGAGGGAATGAAATCTGTGTGCAGATGCAGCTGGGAGACCTCTGCACACAGGGAGGGACCTCTGTCTGGTGGGATCCCCCAGGAAGGGCAGGGGCTGGGCAAGGGCAGGCGTTAACTGCCTGCATGAGCCTCCTTCTGCCCCTGGGGTTATGAAAACACTGACAGCCTTTGCCATCTGGCTTGGGAGAAGGGCCTGCCCAGGACTGCGCCTTGCCTCTCCCCAGCATCGCTTGGCTTCACGTCCTCCCCGGCGCAGGGAGTGGACAGGTGAGCGAGGGTGAGCGTGCCCGGGGGCCAGGGAAGCTGAAGCCAGCAGAGAAATGCTGATGCATCGCCGCAGACCTGCACCTGCACGCGGGTTTCTGAAGAAAACTGCCTTGTCGGCTTTTCTTAATTATATTTAATTGTCAGAGCCACCCGCCGTGCTTCTGCCCTTCTTTGCCCCAACCCAAAGTAGGGCACAGAAGAAATAGGTCAGCGGGGTGGTGAAGAAGCAAATTGCACCACTCCGGCTGTGCCGGAGGCGTGGGGCTGGGCAGGTTGGGCAAGCTGGTTGTGGTGCGGGGAGAGCTGGTTCAGCTGCCTGCAGCTGCCTGCACCACATCATTGCCAGGGCAGGGCAGCATTCCCTGCCGCCGTCATGCCCAGGATGCTCATTGCCAGCACAGCGCCCCGGGCAGCTCTGCCCCTCAGGCAGCAGGCAGGGAGCTGCCTGTCCCTGGGCGCTGCCAGCCCCTTTTCCCTCGGTGTTCGGGGCGGCAGCAGGACACTGGAGTGACTTTATTTATTAAATCTCTCTTGGCCGGGGCTGGGGTTGGCAGCGTGACTTCCCCTTTTCCTTCAACACGGCTTCCCCAGCTTGGCTTCCGAGATGTGCCTGCTGGCGGGGCCTTTGCTTTGATGCCAACTTTGACCAAAATCCTATTTTTTTGTGCCTTTTTCCACGGGATATGCCTGCCTGTGGCTGGGGGGATCTGTGACAACCTCTGCGCTCAGTCACGTTGCCCTGCCACCTTGGCGATGGTTTTCTGCGGTCCCATCTGCTGGGTCGGGGCCGCTTGGTGCAACCATGCGAGCATCCGCATGCACCGTGCTGGGGGTCAGATCCTGAGGGTGCTGAGCACCTGTGGGACCAGGAGCGTGCTGAGCGGGGCCTGCCCTGGGCTGCCATTTCGGGTGGACCTGGGCTGACCCCAGCGAGGTGCCTGCAGGGATGTGCCCTGCCTTGGGCACAGCGGGGAGCCAGAATTTTTTTCGGCGCCTCCTGGCTCGCCTGGCCGCTGGGGCCGTCTCCACGAGCGCGCCGTACCGGGGCTGCCTCTCAGCAGTGTTTGTTCTTATTTGTTCTCTCCGTCTCTTAGCAGCTAAATTAAAACTCATTGAGTGGGAGAACCGGGGGCCCTTAAGCCCTGGGCTCTTTTCTCTCTCTGCTCACGCAGTCGCCATCGTGCACCGGGCAGGAGAAACCCTGCGGTGGCAGGACCGTGGTGGCAGGACCGCAGCGGCACCCTGGGTGCCCCCCAGTTGGGGGACATGGTGTTTTCGCCTCCCCCGGGAATTTCCTTGCCCCAACTGACCCCCCGAGTTGCCGGCATGAGGGTTTTGCAGCTGGAGGGATGCAGGCTGAGTCCCCGCCGGCTGCCTGGCACCAGTGGCTCTGCCGGCTCATCAGCTCCCGTGCCACGGCCTCATCCCCAGGGAGGGCAGCGCTGTGATGTGTCACTTGGCCACACTGATGTCCTGCTGTCCCCCGGGGCCGTGGGACACCGCTGGTGCAGGGTGGCTCCTTTTAGAGGTGTGGGGTCACCCTGCAACCATGTCTGCGAGAGGGAGGGATGCTCTCGGCAGTGGTGGGGGGGACGGGACACTTTTGTGCCTCGCAGGAGCAGGATGTGGGCGGTGGGGGTCAGACGTGGGGGCTGTGAGCGGGCTGACCCCGTCCCGCTGGAGTCGAGCCTGGACCCCACTGGGCAACGTGGCTGGAGGAGGGGGAAGCCCGTGCCCGTGGCGGCAGAGCCAGGAGGTCCCCGTCCCACCCCAGCAATGACTTTGCTTGACCTGTGGTCCCTCTGCACCATGGGGATGTGCCGGAATCGCCATGGCCCAGCTCTGGCCCCAGGGCCACAGGTAGCAGGTGGGAAAGCAGAGACTCTCCCCCTCCACATCCCCGTGGAGCCGGAGGGACATCAGGTCACCTGCTCCTTCCCTGCATCCCTCCGCACCGGGAAGCGACTAAGGACGAGCCCCAAGCGCTCTTTTGTGGCTGAGGCCCCTGAAAAACCCGAGAGGTTTACTCGGGTGGAAATGCTGACGGGCGTTTTGGTGGGAGTGCACAAAACAGCACCGCTCTCATTTTCCATTCTGGCTGCGACGGCTCGTGCTGTGCCATGCAAAAGCGAGACCACATTTTCCTGGGGCGACGGGATCTGCTGTCATTGGCGTAAAAAGTCCCTGTGCTAGCACTTTCTCTGGAGGGTGACCTGCTGCCTTCCCTGTGTGTCCCCGGGGGAGGGGGGACAGGGGGG